TCTCTTTCTCGCTTTATCTAATTAGGTACCTATATATATGTTTATTAATTTATCTTTCCTAGCATTTCCTTCCCACTCCTATTTTTTCTATCTATCTATCTATCTATCTATCTATCTATCTATCTATCTATCTGTTTTTTTCCTCTCTTGTTAACCCTCTTTTCTTATCTCTCTTTCTTTTAATATCTATCTATTTATCTATCTATCTTTCTCTTCTCTCTCTCTTCTTCTCTAACTGTCTTAACTCACACACACACACACACACACACACACACACACACACACACACACACACACACACACACACACATTATCTATCTATCTATCTATCTATCTATCTATCTATCTATCTATCTATCTGTCTATATATCTTTCTACCTTTCTTTGTTCACAAATACACACACCCCCTACCTCTCTTTCTCCCTCTCTCTCTCTCTCTCTCTCTTTCACACATACACACACTCCCCATCTCTTTTTCTTCTATCTATCTATCTATCTATCTATCTATCTATCTATCTATCTATCTATCTATCTATCTATCTATCTATCTGTCTGTCTGTCTGTCTGTCTGTCTGTCTCTGTCTTTCTTCTTCTGTTTTCTGTCTGTCTATCTATTATCTATCTATCTATCTATCTCTCTTTTCTATCTCTGTCTCTCTCTTTCATACGTACACACACTACCCATCTCCCTTTATTTCTTTTCTTCTTTCTTTCTATTTTTGTCTCTCTCTTTTTCTCTCCCTTCCTCTTTTACACACAAACAGACACAAACAGACACATGTACACACACCACACACACACACACACACACACACACACACACACACACACACACACACACACACACACACTCTCACCCTCTCTTTCTTTTCTATCTATCTATCTATCTATCTATCTATCTATCTATCTATCTATTTATCTATCTGTCTCTGTCTATATTCCATTACTGTCTTCCTACCTCGGAGATCTCTTTCGCCTTCCAGTATTCTTATGGTTAGGTGCAGTTAACAGACTTTACTCTAATCATTTCTTGGCCTGCTTACATTTAGAAAGAGAAATAAAAATCACACACAGAGACAGTGTAAGCCAAAGTCACATTATTATGTCGGACAGAGTAAACAAGTAACAAGTAGTACAATAAAATGAAGCTAGGACAGAATAGTAGACTGGCAGACAACACAAGGACAGGACATTTGCCACAGTGCTGGGACAACTGCTTAATTACCTTGATAATGCTGAGCGGGCTATGCGTCCGGACTGTGTTAAGTGTTGAGCTGATATACCTATTTGTTTAAAATATTGCACTAAATATCCAAATTATGTCCAAAAATACAGATAAAAAAGAAAAATGTTTATGTATTAAACCGAACTTGACGGTGTTTATTGAACCATACCATGGAGACAGCCAAGCCACAAAAATGGGTGTTTGGAGAGCGCATTTGTCTGTCTGTCAAGTATGGCGTGAATGTGTCTGCTGCATGCAGACCAACAGCCGATGATGGATAAACCAGATCACTCACAGTCCTTTGGAAATCCCAGGGACAAAGGGTGCTAGGGCTCCCATTAACAGGATATTATATTGAGGTGACTCTTTTCTCTCCCCACCCCATCTGCAATTTTCAGTACTTCCCCGTGTAAACTCATAAAACCTGCAATGGGGAGGGAAAGGGGGCCTTCACTTGAATGAGTTTGCTTTTTATTCCTCCAGGCCTGTGTCTTCAGGACTGTCTTGGGTATTTTTTTTTTTCTTACTCTCCAAGATGCTTGAGCCATCCTTCAATTCCCACAGCACTTCTTTTCAATTTTTTCTCCCTAAACTAGTTTGCTCTGAAACCAGCTCTCAGGAATCAGTGAGAAATATACATACTGTATACATCATAGGTTTGCTGTATAAAACCTTCCCTGGATGTTATTTATAGAGGCAAGTCAGAGAGAGAGTGAGTTTGTACCATTTTCAACATGACAGTAGCATTTCAACATAAATAGACTAAGGGAGAAAGTTGCAATAAAATTTCAGGGGATCCCACATGGTAGTAGGAGAGTCATCAAATTTCCAGTGCAGTTGTTTTTTTTTTTCTGCTGTAAAGGAAACCTGTATATGGCAAGTGAACTCAATAGCCAGCACAGACCCAGGGAAAAGACAACTGGACGTCTTGCTGTTCTTTGTAGGCCTGTTAGAAAACACGATTGGATATTGCATGTATGCAAAGCAGCTTTGAGAATACCGTGCAATGGATATATCCTTTAAGAAAAATGTCTGCAACCAACAGATCCTGATTTGAGACAAGCAAGATGAACCTTAAGGTAATGTGATTCATATTCTCAATTATAAAGATTTCTGTGTTTGGAAACAAGAACCTGTTTTGTCTGTGTAGCTATGCATTGCAAAACTGTTTGATTGTTTTTGTTTGTTTCTTGATCATGCTTATAAATGATTGTGTGCACTATTTTATCACAACATGTGAACATTGTGCTTATTACTGTGCGATTCAATGTGCTGTATGTGGCTGGATTCATTTAAAATGCTTCTGGTGTAAAATACAATATAATGATGGGATATTATTGGACTGCATTTTGTGCTGGTTTGGGGCATGTGAATGCAATGTGTTGATTCAAAAATATTGTCTGGGTTTAAAATGCATTGTGCCTCTAATGTATTAATAGGTCGCATGTTTTGACTTGTAGTACACAAGTGTGTGATACTAATAGTGTTTCAGCCTTTTCTGCATGTGTGGACCAAAGTGTTGTTGTGGATCCTGTAAGGATAACTAATAGGGATACAATTTGCACGTATTATATTTAATGCCAAACTCAGAGATGGAAAAGACATGTGTGCTAGTTTAAAAATGTATTATTGAGATGATTTTAATTTTTGGTGTAAATGCACACATAAAACAGAGAGGATACTGAGCAGTTACGAGGCTTAGTAATGACTGGTAATATATTCCTTACTTCATTTTGCTCTTTCATTTGCAACTTAACGAAGCTCCAATAATGCTTGCCATGCCAGAGCTCAGGAAAAGATGCTGCTTATTTTTGGTGTTACACAGTGGGAATCGTATGAATTAATAACAGCATTTGTTGTAGCGAATCAGCTGCTTGCCTTTATGTGCTATCTGTATGGATTTTGATGGCTTTGTATTACCAGGGCACGCATTAAATATACATTTGATTATGTCTGTACAATTGTTTTATCTGCTCTTTAAGGTGATTTTATTTTTCTTTGTGGCATGCGTTTGGAGGGGGCTTCCTCTGTGGAAATGCAAATCTTTCCAGATTTCAGTCTCTTCACCATTATCTATGCCTACTGTGTGCTGAGAAGATGTATCAAATGGCTAAAGCTGCATAGAACAGGGCATAGCATATAGCATCCCTCGATAAAGGATCTCTATTAGAGCATGATCTAGAATCCTTCATTATTTACTGCAGCTCTGAATTACCAGTGCAACAGTAAAAATGAGATTTATCAGCCATAAATGGACCCCTAATGTCCATCATTTGGAGAAATAAAACCAGGGATTTCCAATGTAAAGGAAAGCACTCCATAGCTGCCCACTTGTGTGTATTTGCTGCCCTTGCCGGGGTTCCTCAGCTCAGTGTAGAGGAATTCCTATACACAATGAAGAGGGCTATTATTTATTGACAGGACCGGTGGCACTGGAAGTAGTTCCAGGACATAATTCTTATGAAAATCTTTGCACTTTGTCTTCTTTCCCCCCAGAAAATGAATGGGAGAACTTGCTATAAGTTTTGTGTTCTTTTTTTCTTTTTTTTTTTTTTACAGTTGAAATCCAACCTTACAGTTTTTTTTAATGAACGACACGTTTATGAACAATCGAATGAGCCTCGTAAATTTTTTATTGAAGGACATAAAAAACATCCAAGGCTCACCAGACGAATAGAGACATCCACTGAAAGATGGGAGTAGCTTAACAGTTTTTATTCTGTTTAACTGTGTCTTGTGTGAGTTGCCTTTCCCCCTTCTTCAACTCAGGAGGCTTCCACTTGCTTGATTTTCAATGCCTGCTGGTTGGTGAAGAATGATACCAACTGATACATTGCATTTTATAAGACACCCCAGCACAGAAGGCAGCCTGTTAAAAGAAATAAGACAGCATTGTAAAAAAAAAAGAGAAGAAAAAGAAGTGAGAGGGATACAATGAGTCTAATTCAGTCTAAATAGCAGGAAGCAGTAAGTGATTATAAACGAAATGCAGAAATCATAATGTATTTCTAATGAAAAGCTATGTCTTGGACTGTACTATATATCCATGCTAGGATTCTGGCAGCATTACAGAGAAGAGACAGAGATGGATTGCGTCAAGAAATAGTCCCCTTCCGTCATTCTCACGTTCCTTCCATTGACATGCTTTACCCAAGTTTCTCCCCAATCCCAGGAAAAGTGCAGCTAGGCATGAGTCCTTAATGAGCTCCAGCAGGTCCACTCCTTGATTTTTTTTTTTCCACATTATTTTTATGAAAAGCAGACCGTCCAGTATTAAGGAATAGAGGCAATGGGACCTGCGCATTGATCTACACTGTATTTTTTTTTTTTTTTTTTTTTTTTTTTTTTGTAAATACAATCACGTGGGAGGCGAGAGCCAATGACAAGCATGAGAGGCTGAAAAAATAATTACCTGCCCTGATTGTTCTATGAGCAGATAAAAAGTACACATACAGTTCATACAATAATCTTATGAATGTAAAAGAAGGGGGAAACAATGTCTGCGTCTGGTCCCATCAGCAACTATTATGTGGACTCTCTGATCAGCCATGAGACTGAAGACCTCTTGGCTTCTAGGTTCCCTACCACTGGGGCTCACCCAGCAGCTGCACGACCGACAGGATTAGTGCCGGACTGTGGAGATTTTCCTTCGTGCAGTTTTGCCCCGAAGCCTGCAGTTTTTACCACGTCGTGGGGTCCTGTGCACTCCCAGTCTTCAGTGGTCTACCATCCTTACAGCCACCACCAGCCACACTTGGGCACAGACGCCAGGTATATGCGCACTTGGCTGGAGCCCATCTCAGGGACCGTGTCCTTCCCAGGCTTTGCAGCAAGCAGCAGGCACTACGGACTCAAGCCTGACGCCTTCCCCAGCAGGAGGGAGTGTGGCCCCAACGATGGCCGCAGCTATCCGGATTACATGTATGGATCCCCTGGCGATCTCAGAGACAGGCCACCTCTACACACCATTCCTTCCCCGGAATCTGAGGCCATCCTTTCCAGCAAACACAAAGAAGACAAGTCTGAATTGGACCCCAGTAAGTTAAAGAGCCATTCTTGTTTACAACCGGACAGGGGGGGGGGGAGGAGGAGGAATTATAGCATGTACTAGAGTCCTCCATAAAATGAAATTACCTCCTTAGCAGGGCCCTGCCCTAAAAAAACACAGCCTGCAGGAAGACCTGGCTGAATGGGAGAATAAAAAAGATCTAGGAAGGGATCTAGCATGGGTGCACTGCCTAGGAGTCATTCCTTTCCCATGTGCAATGGGACACCCAGCCTGAGATCAGGGACACATTTCACACGTACATATAGATCCCCGGTAATAGCTCTGGATGGGGACAGCAGCAATGCAGCTAAATCCAGTCCCTGGGACCGATGCAGTTCCAGCCAGGGAGGGAACACCTAACCCTAATGCATCAACCTGCCTTGTCAGCAAAAAAAAAAAAAAAAAAACACACATCCTTATTATTTTACATGCATGTGCAAAAGGCTGGACTCCAGTTTCTTAAAAGCAAGATCCCAGCAGATTGAATTCAAAGGGCAACAAAAAATGTGCTTGCAGGCACTGGAGCTGCGTGGGACAATTGGGCATTTGAACAAACCCATAGTAGCTGTGGTTTTATGCTGTGACCAGAGGAGATCAGGTTCACACAGAAAACTTCCTTGTGTCATCCTAAAGCTGGACATACATACAATACAATATTCTTGTTGACTTTCTGTGTCATCCTAAAGCTGGACATACATTATACAATATTCTTGTTGACTTTCTGTGTCATCCTACAGCTGGACATACATTATACAATATTCTTGTTGACTTTCCTTGTGTCATCCTAAAGCTGGACATACATTATACAATATTCTTGTTGACTTTCCTTGTGTCATCCTAAAGCTGGACATACATTATACAATATTCTTGTTGACTTTCCTTGTGTCATCCTAAAACTGGACATACATTATACAATATTATTGTTGACTTTCCTTGTGTCATCCTAAAACTGGACATACATTATACAATTTTTCTTGTTCACTTTAATTTTGTCATCCTAAAGCTGGACATACATTATTCAATTTTTATTGTTCACTTTCCTTGTGTCATCCTAAAACTGGACATACATTATACAATTTTTCTTGTTCACTTTCCTTGTGTCATCCTAAAACTGGACATACATTATACAATTTTTCTTGTTCACTTTCCTTGTGTCATCCTAAAAACTGGACATACATTATACAATTTTTCTTGTTCACTTTAATTTTGTCATCTTAAAGTTGGACATACATTATTAAATTTTCTTGTTCACTTTCCTTGTGTCATCCTAAAACTGGACAAACATTATACAATTTTTCTTGTTCACTTTCCTTGTGTCATCCTAAAGCTGGACATACATTATACAATTTTTCTTGTTCACTTTCCTTGTGTCATCCTAAAGCTGGACATACATTATACAATTTTTTCTTGTTCACTTTCCTTGTGTCATCCTAAAGGTGGCCATACATTATTCAGGTTTCTTGTTCACATTCCTCGTGTCACCTTAAAACTGGCCACACATTATACAATTTTCTCATTCACTTTAATTTTTTTTCATCCTAAAGCTGTACATACATTATACAATTTTCTAGTTCAATTTCTTTTAGGTTTACCTTCCAACTATGTAATGCAAGGGCCTGCCTGAATGCATACAAACTGAAAGTGTTTAGGTCTGACCTCATAGTATATGCTTGTGGTAAATCTAAAGGAAAATTGTACAAGAAAATTGTATAATGTATGGTCAGCCTTAAAGTTAAACCTACCTGGTCCCATAGTTAGGCTGGCCACACATTATACAATTTTTCTTGTACAGTTTTCCTTTAGATTTACCAAAACCATATAATATGGTTTCAATTTGTGTGTGTAATAAGACAAGCCCTTGCAGTATATAGTTGAAGGTAAAATTGAAGAAGAAAATTGTATAATGTATGGCCAGTTTTAGGTTTATTAGACCCCCCCCCCCCCTTACCATTGATCTATCATCAATGTGCCGATAACACAGCCCATTCACTCCACCAGACACCTGGCAGTCACACATTTTATTAGCAATGTTATAAACTCTGCTATAAACCTTCAGATTATACAGGCACAATACATGATATATAATTATATTAGGCAGTATACATACACACAAGCGTGTACCCTTGCTGATAGATTTATTGCTGTATTAAAATCATTTTCAGTTTTAAAATATTTCAACAACTTAACAAGACATTTAAGAGATCTACTAAAGTAGGGAGTAAAAAAAAATACACTTAAGATACCCCAGAAATCACATAGCTAGTATTATGTGTGGTATATTTATATCCACGGATGCTAGAATTATATTTTGTTTATAAATTAGGTGGATTAAAGATGTACACTTAATAAAGGCACATTTTTTAATCAGCTCATCAAACAGTAGATAAATACAATATAATTAAAAAAAAATAATGGAAAGAATGAAGAGCTATAATTATTTATTTTAAGGTTGATTGGGTTAAAAGTCTTTAGAGGAAACAGGACTTGCTCCAGACTTTTATGGCCTTGAGAGAACACACAGTGTATTTTTATTATAGCTGGCTTACAATGGCTTCTGCTACTCATGTGCTAAATACCTTTAAGTGCCCACATCAATTTTAGCCACGAGAAACGTCTGCACACACAAGAAAAGTCTTCTACTTACACATTCATTAAATAAATCAGTCCCCTGCAAGATCGGTGTTTGTAAAATGAAGGGATTAAAAGATGTTACATGATTTCTTCATCAAACAGCCCTAGTTAAGAGAAACATTCAAATGTTAAGGACATTAATGGACTTCCTGGTATTTAAACATTAACTTTCCTTTTTCTTTCCAGATAACCCAGTGGCAAATTGGATTCATGCTCGCTCCACGAGGAAGAAAAGGTGTCCTTATACAAAGTACCAGACTTTGGAACTAGAAAAGGAGTTTTTATTTAATATGTACCTAACCAGGGACCGGCGTTATGAAGTCGCCAGGGTTCTGAATCTTACTGAACGCCAGGTTAAAATTTGGTTTCAAAACAGAAGGATGAAAATGAAGAAAATGAACAAGGAAAAAACCGACAAAGAGCAGCCCTAGACTCTTCCTTAACACATCCTCTTATCAATAACCTCGTTATAACAGATATGTGAAGAAAACATTTTGCTTTCCCGTGGGTTCAAGCATTATCTAATAATAAAAAAAATAGACTTCTATTGACTATGAATGTGGACATCGGTGTTTAGATTAGATAATAAACACACACGCATTGTAAAAGCACATGCTTTTATAAAATGCAGATTTAAAAAAAATGTTTCTCTTCTCTGTCTATAAAGGAAAAAAAAATAACAAAAAACAAGAAAGTACTTGAATATTTTTTTTTTAGTATTTTATTTTGTAACTTATACTTATCCAGTGTTAATTTTTATTTGAAAGAAGTTTGTGAGTGCATATTTTGTATAATTCAAATCGGAATCTACCAGTATGTTTTGTTATAGTATTGAAAGTCTCTTGGATGTATATATTTATGTATTTTATTCTTGTCACAAAGAAATGTTCAGTATTGTTCTGTTATGCCTGTAGAGCAGCTCTATGTAAATATAGAAGAGTGCACTATAATGCCTTTGTGTGTTTTGTGGCTATATAAAAACCAAGTACAAAAGGGAGAACAGTTCTATGGGCCAAGACCGGTAATAGCGCATAGAAAAGAAGTGCAATTTCATCTATATTAAAAAACATTTCATTAATTTGTGATCAGTAGTACTTACCATTAGACAGGGTCTTCCACAGAGCTCGGATTCCTCTGAAAATTTCATTAGTCTGTTCATTCCTGCTATTTAATAGATATTTTGTATATTTTTTTAATTTTGTAGTGAGTGTATTACAGCAGAAAGCATGTGAGAAAAAATGCCTTCCATACCCAGGAATGGCGCTAAATGCAGCCCTGAAAACATGATTTTAGAATAAAGCTGTATTTGTTTCATTTGCATCTGACTCCCAAGTTAGAATACATGACATGATTATTTATGGTCTCAGTCAAGAGAAATGTCAGGTTTGGACAATAATAGAGGGCCGCATTCCTAATTTAAGCTGCTTCCTGCTAGGGCTGCCTTGAGACTCCAGATCATTCCTTTTTTTATGGTAGGGTATCTCATACATACATTTTATTACTTTAGTGGTGGATCTAAAATCTACTCTTGCGACTTATTTGACTTTAGAAAAAGCGACTTGAAAAAGATCTACCTTTTTATAGCATGTTTAAAGATCTCTGGAGGCTTTATTGATGTGTGAAAAGCTACTGGAGTAATATAGTTAAATATTTTATAGGTAGGAGGCAGCTTGGAGCAAATGCACAAGTAGGCCAGCTCCAGAATCCTCCTAATGGCGGACTGGGAGGACTGTACAAGCAGCACCAGCAGTGTTTGACCAGAAAAAAACTCACATGACCATTTTAGCCATGGTTGGCAACAGGAATATTCATTCCGTGTGTACAGATTCACTTATGATGCGTAAATAATAATAATAACAACAAACAACAATATTAATAATAATAACATGAGAAACTATGAAAAAAATATATTTATAAAATATTCCAATTTATTATACTCTATGATGTCATACTGAGCTCCTTTATTAAACCTTAAGCCATAAAAGAGGATTTTAAAAATACGTTTCTTGTTTGTTTTTTTAAGTGAGAGAATAACATGGAAGAATGTTAAAGCTAGCTGTAGAATGTTGCAATCCTTAGAGAGTTCTCAGCCTTCCATTCTTGAATTGGTTGTCCAAGATCAAGAAGGGCCCCCGATCCGCATTATTATCATTCAAATATATCTCATGCCAAGGACAGATTTAGTGATCTTAGCAACCTTAGGATGCCTAGCCGCTTCAACAAGCCAGCTCTCCTGCTTCTCTCAGTGGACTCCTTAGAATATGAATACATCCATTGACATATAGTTGGGTTATTTGTGTGGGTGGGGAGAAATTATTTGCTGAAAAAAAAGTTGCTGTTTTAATTTAATACCAAAAAAATATGCATCATATTGCAAAAGGCGTATACATAAACAAAACTGGTACAGACTTCCCACATCTGCAAGGTTTGCCTGAAAGATGTGATCTAAGATGTCATTGTCACTTTGACAATTGATCAATCAGTTTAATGTCCCATGATGGGAAGTTTGTCTTTCAAAAGGAGAAAGACGAGAATAAAGGAAGAGATAGAGAGGGACAAAGGCAGAGAGATCAAGTACATCTTTGCATGTTACATTTTACACAGTGTTTTTTTTTTTTTTTGCTGTACATTTGGGTAGGATTGCTACAATTCCAGGTCTCTTTAGTGGTTTGTGGCACATATGTCGTCTTTCCGGATGGTGTCATATAATCCAGGCTTTTGTGAGCGAGATAAAAAGGACAGGATGGTGCTGGTTTTAGGGCAGGCACTAGGTATACTTCCGCAGAGAAAGCCAGGCTTTACAACCTATGTCTCACTGCTGTTTGTGTTGAATGGAGGTGAACAAAACAAGAGCCCAGAGCTGGCTAGACGTCTGGCATTAATTGTTTTATGGTTTAAATAAGGAGCATACTCTGCTCTTTGAAACTGGATTATTGGAATGTTTTGTCTACCAGCAACAAACAGTCCACTTCAGTGAAATGAAAAATGTTTTAAACTGATAAACTCCAAAAAACACAGTGAAAGTAGCAAAGAGAGGTGTGCAACACTTATCTGTCCAAAATAAAATCCTTTCAACAAGCACGGTGAGGACTGCGTTACTCTCATTCTTCTGTTCATACTTTTTCTCGTTTTACTATAGGTAAAAGTACATGTCCTATTAAATTTGTGATGGGCCTACTCTTTTTGTTGAATATTCTCTTGAGTATCACGATAGATAGATAGATAGATAGATAGATAGATAGATAGATAAAGGGCTGTACTATACTTCATCATATTTCACTCATTCTACTAGATATACACATACATATCCTTCTAAATTAGTGATTGGTCTACTTTATCTACTGAACCTTTTCTTGAGTATGAAAACAGCAACATTCAAATGAATGTGAAAAGAGAGAGATAGATAGATAGATAGATAGATAGATAGATAGATAGTTTTGCGAGTACTTACACACATACCAAATATGCAGAGAAACTAGAATGTGAAAACTCATCTTATGTTTTTAGTCCCTAACAGTGATTCAGAATTTCTATGAAGCATATTCAATCATAATAAATACACTTATATGCTTAAAACATGCTACAATGTGCTATTAGAAGAATGTGGTCTGCTGTATATTTATAGCAATTTTTAAAATATTCTACAAATGAACAATCCAAACAAAAAAGATATGGATTTATATTTCTAGAGCTATCAAGAGTCTTATGACTCCTTTCAATATAACACACACACACACACACACACACACACACACACACACACACACACACACACACACACACACACACACACACACACACACATTATCTATCTATCTATCTATCTATCTATCTATCTGTTTTTTTCCTCTCTTGTTAACCCTCTTTTCTTATCTCTCTTTCTTTTAATATCTATCTATTTATCTATCTATCTTTCTCTCTCTCTCTCTCTCTCTCTCCCCTCTCTAACTCTCTCTCTCTCTCTCTCTCTCTCCCTCTCTAACTCTCTCTCTCTCTCTCTCTCTCTCTCTCTCTCACACACACACACACACACACACACACACACACACATACAAATGTGCTATTAGAGGAAGCATGTAGTCTGTTGTATATTTATAGCAATGTTTTAAATATTCTACAAATGAACAATTAAAACAAAAAAAAGATATGGATTTATATTTCTAGAGCTATCAAGAGTCTTAAGACTCCTTTCAATAATATACACACGTACACACACACATGCTATAATGTGCTATTAGAGGAAGCATGTGGTCTGTTGTATATTTATAGCAATGGTTTCAATATTCTACAAATGAACAATCAAAACAAAAAAAAAGATATGGATTTATATTTCTAGAGCTATCAAGAGTCTCATGACTCCTTTCAATATTATACACACATGCGCGCACACACACACAAGCGTGCACACACATAAACACACACATGCTACAATGTGCAATTACAGGGAACATGTGGTCTGATGTATATTTATAGCTATGATTTAATTATTCTACAAAAGAACAATCAAAACAAAAGATATGGATTTATATTTCTTGAGTTATCAAGAGTCTTGTGACTCCTTTCAATATTATACACATGCACACAGCCACACATTCGTGTATTTTTATACTATTATATAGGTATCTTTTTGCACTTTGTTCTACATATAATTACACTATATAAAAACTTGTGTTCAGTATACTATAACAATATTTTACATTTCTTATGTAAATTGTAGTCAATACTACAGACACTACTGTGGTATTACATACCACATATGTAATACACAAATGCACACACATATACACATTGGGGGTTATTTACTAAAACTGAAGAGTGCAAAATATGGCGAAGTTCTGCACAGAAACCAATCAAATTCCAGGTTTTATTGCCAACGCTTAACTGAACTAGCTGCAGTTAGAAGCTGATTGGCTACCATGCACAGCTGCACCATTCTCCAGTTTTAGTAATCAACCCCACATTGGGGTTGATTTACCTGAACAGATAGAGGTTGACTAACTGAAGTTACTAAAGGAGTTGAAAATGTCCACACAATAAATTCCTGTTCAGATGAAATAAATAAGCACAAATTTATTTATGGTTGGATACTTTAAGTGAATATTTAAGATGAGATCATTTAAGTGACCATTTAGGGAACAATGTGTTGTGTGAACATTCACATCTTCCTTAGCAAATCATCCTCATATTTCTCACTAGTCTAGTGAATAAAAGTGAACTTTTTCACTTTCTTCATCCAATCATGTGCAAGCAAACCCTGTGTTTTTTTTCTTTGCCCATGGTTGGATATTTTAAGTGAAGGTGACTTTATTCACCAAGCAAAGTAAATACCCTCTACTCCTTTAGTAAATTAGCTCCAGTACATACAGTGATGTATAATGAACTA